TTTGGTCTTGTCCGCATATTCTCACAATTATCCCAATACTGATTGTCACATCGCTCCCACTTTTAGATGCGATCGTTCAGCCATTGCGTTTATCTACGTTGTCCAGCTTCATCTAAGGGGAACAACTCACTGGAGAGACTTTGATTCTCGGGCCAACAGTCGGTCACTGGACCCGCCGGGATCCCGGTTGTGCAGTCAAAGTAATTCGGTTCGGTACCATAATGGTAGAGGGAAATCAGAGTGCTCGCCAAAGACGTTCAAGTTAACTGTACGACCCTAAACTGAAAAAGTGGAAAATAAACAAACTCGAATCTGCTTGCTTGTCAGTGACAGCTTCAAACGAAGGGCAAGGCCGCCATCAGAATAAAAAAGACAACCGTCTTTTCACCACGCTTAACGTTTAACATTAAATCAAATTAAAAATCACGAAAGAAGTCAGATGCATCACGCCCATAGGGACCCCGATCTATCGGTAGTCGTAGTCTAATGTAAACTGGGCGGCAAAAGAAAGTAGAGGTCGAGTTCCATGATCGATAAAAAAATAACAAGAAGAGGTTTTGTTGTGAATTATTTATATAATCTAGGGAAGGCTAACAAATGATTGATCAACCACAAAAAAATTGTCCGACACACTACAAGTTCATTGTCGACACAGTTGCCTTCAATAGCGTGTATGACGTCCAGCTGCCTCACTGCATACTGTGATACGCCGCCTCATCGATGACGTCAGTATAATCCCTGTATAATCTCCTCTCGAATACACGCCGGAGCCAAACGTTCCCCACTGCGTTCGATAAACTCGTTCTCTGTCGTCATTTCGAAACAAGTTAAACCGACGTTCATCAGTAAACAGCACTCGACGCCAATTTCTCACTTGCCAGCGTTCAACCTGCCTCGCCCATCGCAGTCTCAGGCGTCGATGCTGAGCAGTCAGTACCATTCCTCGGAAAGGACGATACGCTCGGATTCCAGCAGCACGAAGTCGTCGTATTACTGTACGTTGGCTAATGAGATGTCCCAACGCTGTAGCTGCCGTCGCCGTCGCCGTTACGAATCTGTTTCGCAGGTGAATGAGCCGTATCTGACCGTCTTCCAGTGGTGTTGTCACTCGGGGTCATCCGGTTCTAGGCCTGTCCTGTGTCCTCCCTGTCTGCCTGTACCGTTGAATCAGCCTGGCTACTGTCAATGGTGTACAACCAAACCTTCTGGCAGTTTAGACCTGTGTTGCCCCCATTTCGGCCATAACGATGGCTCTCTCTCTCTGCTCCTGTGACAGTCGAGGCATTTCTTTTGTGTGTTTTCATCACGTGTGGTTATACTCTGCAGACGAACGCATTTATACAGCACGTGCAGTTTGTCATAGGCGGGAAACCGGTTTCACCCTTTTTTTGTCACCGCACGAGCGCCGTCAAAGGTGGCGCGTTCGGGTGAGCTGTTTTTTGGTACCCGTTCCTGGGCAGTCATATTCCCAATACCCACTTTCCACTAGTTATCGCTGTTTTTAGGAAAACTACAAATTGCCAACCTGTACTTTCTTTTGCCGCTTAGTTTAGTCTAACGTCTCACCACCTGTATCTTCACCTGTATCGTGGGTAATAATGACGCTGATGCTGATGTGATGTCGTAAAATTAAGTTGACCTTCCTTTGTTGCAGGGTCCCCCCAGGCATGAGTGTCGAGAGGTTCGTGCAGTCGTGCGAGCTGTGCGGCATGTTCTACGGCAGCACCTACAACTACGACTGCCTTAACGACATCACGTTTAGGACATTCCGCGGATGTCAACTGGCTATCAGCTAACTACGTCATAGTTTTATGTGACGTCACGAACATTAGGCCTTACTAGGGCCGAGACAAATGCGTTCATGTTTTCTGGGTATGTCTTGACGGGGTGACGGCACGCCCCAGAACGGTGACAAGGCGGTGATACATTTTTATTAAGAATCACATTGATGTTTGTATGTAAATACTTGAAGTCTGAAAAACAACGCTGTAAAGCATATCATGGGGGAATTACAACTAATTATCATTCAGAGAAATGCTTCAAGATTTACACATGATGTTGGTCGAGTTAGAACGCCTGCCGTCATGTACACCTTGTCACTTCGAATAAAAATTTTCGCTTAACCTTGGTCTTTTAATTGCCTTGCCGTGAAGATCCGGGTTAGAATAGGTCTTCAGCAACCCATGTTTGTCCTAAAAGGCGACTATGCTTGTCGTAAGAGGCGACTAACGGGATCGGGTGGTCAGACTCGCTGACTTGGTTGATGCATGTCGTCGATCCAGATTGCGAGGATCGATGCTCATGATATCAATCACTGGATTGTCTGGTCCAGACTCGATTATTTACAGACCGCCGTCATAAAGCCGGATTATTGCTGAGTGCGGCGTTAAACAACAAACCAACCAACCCAAACCAACATGCGTGTCCCCAAAATGGTATGAGTAAGTGAGTATGGTTTTACGCCGCTTTTAGAAATATTCCAGCAATATTACGGCGTGGGACACCAGAACTGGTATTCACACATTGTACTTTTGTGGGGAATCGAACACGGACTTTCGGTGTGACAGGCTAACGCTTTATCCACTTGGCTACCTCACTGCCCCCAGGATGGTAATGAAACAGTGGGGATGGGAGTGGATGGTTGGCCAAAGTTTGGCAAGCTCCGTGTTAATTATGGCGTCAAGTAAAAACGACCAGGAACTAATTAGATTGGAGATTGATTCAATGTGCAGTAGTGAGTGAGTGAGTGAGTTTAACGCCGCATTGAACACCATTTCTGACATGTCACGGCGTCTCAGTATGCGTGACGCAATCGTAAAACAACACGTAAAACTAGCACATCAAAGGATCACAATCACGGTGAATCTTGGTTTCATCCCGTGTACAGCGGATTGTGGCACGACTAAGGGACGCAACTCTGTACAACCTTCTAAATCTACCCCAAATTGGAATTGAAAATGTTATTGCGTCTGAGATGATATTGTTATTGCAATGTCGAAAAATGTCCCAACGATGCTGCCTGAAGAGAAGTGTCTATGATACCAGGAAAATATCCTTTTTCCTATTTTCACGTCGAGTGAAGTTATATGCAATAAGTTCAGTGTACGCACATAATATGGTAAGTAAGACGGGGCACGAGTGAATGTACACTATTGGGATTAAACCGCACTACTTCGTCAGGTTTCAGAGGCTGCAAAGACGGCACAAACACACACACATGACGACACAAACACACAATGGCGCGCGCGCACACACACACATCACGAAACACACACAGAATGGCACAAACACACCACGGCGCACACTCTCTCACACACACACAAACAAACTCCACGACGCACACTCACACAAAAACACACAACATACGCGCGCGCACACGCACACACACACACACACACACACACACAGAACAGCCCAAACACTTACACACCACGGCGTACACACATACACCACGAATGCACACACATACACACACATACAAACACCACGACGCACGCACGCAAACACACACACATAGAAACACTACGGCACACACATACAAATACCACGATGCACACACTCAAAAACACACAACGACGGACACACACATCACGATGCACACACACACACACATACACACCACGGCAGAATACTGGTATCTAATTTTAAACAAGACAAACAGTTAATCTCCTGATGAAAAAGTATGTTGCGTAAAGTTTGTTATTCGATAACTGAACGCACGTGCGATGTGGTAGCTTGTTTAAAGAAACATGCGCATTTAACATGTAAACATTTTTAATGTCTGAAATATCTGCATCTCACGACAGCAAAATGTTCGCCGGAACCCTGAAGTTACAGGGTATGGGTTGTATCATGGGTTCAAGGTACATTTCAGTAAACATTTCCATACATCTTGCTCATTTGGTCGCTGTGTGTGGTTGGTGTATTGGTGGCCCGATACTCATTGTGGGCTGACTCACTCCCAAACAAGTGGGGTAACGTACAATGATTTTATGAACGCTTCAAATGTGGAGACGGTTGCGTGGATAAAACCAACTGAGTGTCAGCGCCACTAGCTCGGCGTTCAGTGCTCGTCAATGAATATCCTTTAAAGGAATGCGACAGATCCATTTCCATAATCGTAAGAAATCTCGACTGTACGATTCCGACAATATAATAAACTTGTGTTTATGAATCACTATCAAATAGTGAAGATGCCAGGTGTTCGTGAAACAATTCATGAATAAAGTCGCTATAACAAAGACAATAATTCAACCATTTATTAGAAACATAATGTATAACAATTCATACGCGAACAAGGGGTGTCTAATATCTTCTGAATGTTTTTTTCTTTTCTTTAATATATAAATATAATAATGTATCAACATTAAAATTCTAAATAATGTTACTTCCATCGGCACCGTTGCTGGTTTCTGCATTGTCCACGTGTCAGTGGTATACGTCAATGCGGCCGTAAAAGAAATATTGATTTACTCGGAATGAGTTTGGTTTTACGCCGCTTTTAGTACTATCCCAGCAATATCACTGCGAGGGACACCAGAAACACATTGTACCCATGTGGGAAATCGAACCCGGGTCTTCGGCGTGACGAGCGAACGCTTTAACCACTGGGCTACCCCACCGCCCCTCATGTTTCATGAACGTGTCCTGTATCCGGTACAATCTTGCATGGATATTACCTTGTGGTTACATTAATATCAGCGGCAACATGAGAGAGTCAATCTTGTCAGTCTTCATGGTAAACGATTTCTACTACAGCGTATCGATGAGTGAGGTGAGGTGAAATTGGGTTTAACGTCGCGTCCAAGATTATGGCACTCATATAGCGACGTGCATGCACGTGTGTGTGTGTGGCTGCTTGTACTAGTCCGGACTGATGCCGATTTATAGTGCTAGCTCACTTAGATACCATGACGCAGTTTAACATGAATATCGCACTCAGACACAGTATACTGACTCCGAGCCGACCAGTCCTTGTTTTAGCCCCTTAATGCCGAGCGCCAGACAGGGTAACAACAAGTACCATCTTTTAACGTCTTTTGGTATGACGCGGCCGGGATCGAACCCCGGAACTTCCGCTCTCCGGGTGGACGCTCTACCACTAGACCACGGAGGCGGTCCCGTAGCGATGACGGTAACCTTTCACTCATATGTGTACTTTAAAAGACTGGCATCATAGCACTCATACTCAGCAATTAATGTTCCAATTTGTATTGTCCACAACAGCTGACTTATGTTTACGAAGATCCAAGGTTGGCAATGTAATAAAAACGAAAAATGAAAAAAGCAAACTGGATTACAGCATGAGACGTTTACCACTTCGGTGAAACCCACGAGCACCGGTATGGTGCTTACAAACCTAGAAACATAATCGGGGCGAACCGGGACTCGAGCCCACAATCATAGGTTTCTGGTGTGTCCAAGGCACGCAACTCCGCAAAGCGAATTGCAGCGCCTTAGGCGACTGAGCCACCCGTGCACCCTTTCCAGCAATTACTAAGTGTTGCTTATTCATCGAAGGACTGTCTACATCATAGGCACAATGTTGGCTTAGCTGCCCTTGTTTGCTGTCTGTTGAACTTCTCACTGTCAGTCTGACTGACCTTCAGTACTGGTTTAGTGTCGTCCTAGTTTTACTTTCTATACATATCCATGTTATAAGTTCCAACGAAATCTGAACCTCATTCTTCCTTAAAGTCATCAGACAGATCAATAATAAAGTCAAACCCCGTTAGCACGGACACCGTTAATCCGGACCCTGTTGATCCTGACACCGTTAATCCGGACACCGTTCATCCGGACACCGTTAATCCAGACCCTATTTATCCGGACACCGTTACTCCGGACATCATTAATCCAGACACCGTTAAACCGGACCCTGTTAATCCGGACACCGTTAATCCGGACATAATTAATCCGGACACCGTTAATCCGGCTCGACCACATTTCACCCATAACCCAACATGTTACGTGGCTCCACCATAGCTCACCTGTATCTTGAGTATCACTCCAGGTACATTATTCACAGTCAATATTCACATCACTATTCGCATTGCTATTCACCACCGCTGTTCACTCCTTCTCCGGCTCAGTCAGGAACACGTTCTTGGTGCTGGGGTTCATCTCCTCCTGCCGGATCAGTCGACTGACGTTTGTCCTCAGCTCCATGCCGTTGGTCACTCCGCGCGGTTTGCTGATCATGGAGCGGTCATTCTGTATGACAATAGGGAGAATCCCGTGTTCCTCTTCCGTCTCCACGATGATATCACGCTTCACTTCTCTACCCCTCTCATTCGCCTTCCTCTGCACTGGTAATTCTGGACGAATCTTCGCTTTAGGTGTTTTAACGACAATGAAAGGATCGACCTGAAACATTTTATAAAAAATGTATACTTTTCAAGGTTTGTTTTGTTTTTTGTTTAACGCCGCACATTCGGCTATATGACGGTGGTCTGTAAATAATCGAGTCTGGACCAGACAATACAGTGTTTGACATCATGAGCATGAATCCATACAATTGGGATACGAAGACATGCATCAACCAAGACACCGAGCCTGGCCACTCTTTCTCGTTATTCGTCTCTTACGACAAGCATGGGTTGGTAAAGACCAGTTCTAACTCGGGTCTTCAGAGGTAATTATCTTTATTGATAGTCTACATGTACGTACGGTCATGACAAAGTACACGTAGTTGGTCTTGGACCAGTCCTACTCTATAGTGCGACCAGACATTGACATAATGTCCCCCTGATGGTCGCCTCTTACTGCAAGCATGGGTCGCTGAAGATCAATTCTTCGCGGGTAATAATTCTCACATACACATGAGCAATATCAATGAGGCCATTCCACGTTCGGAAAATGACCCGCGATAAGCTTGGCTGAGTTGCGTCCCTTAGTACCACCAGGATCTGATGATTGTTGGTTCGAATCCCAGTTTCTTATCGATTGTAGTTCATGGTCTATTTATTGGAGCACCTTTAATAGTTTTGTTGCATACGTCCCACGTCAAAGCTGACACAACTGAAATATTATTTAAAGCAGCATTATACCGTCAGTCTATCCGGTGTCCCCACGTGGATTTAAATTTAGCCAAACATAAGATTGTTAAACCTATTATGAAGACAGAGGTAATTCTGACATTCACCACAAAGACACTCACATATGAGTGGCATGGGTGGCTCAGGCGCTGCGAATCGCCGTGCAGAGTTGCGTCCCTTTAGCGTGCCAGAAACCTATACCCATGGGTTTGTCAGCACCATACCCATGCTCGTGGTTTTCACGAAAGTAGTTATACGACTTGTCAGTAAGATTTGTCTTATTCACGTTGACACGACAGAAAAAAACCAAACATGAAATAGTGTTCACAGCAGCATTGAACCAAACTCGCTCACATCTACCCGAGGTGAGGGAATTATCTGACTATAAAAGTCCAGTTTCCACCCTTGCCGAACTAGGTTGGAATTTCTGGGTTCGAACGTAGCGTCATCAGTGGATATTACACGAGTCATGTCCCTTCCATGTCCCTCCTATTAACCAATCAGATTTCACCTCTCATATATCACTTGCATTTGCTACAAACAAAATGGCGGCGCCCAGTCAAGACGATCTAATCGATAATCAAGATCTATAAAACGTGATAAAACGGGTCTTACTTCGCGAAGTGCATGAAATCACATGAGCACCTTGATTAAAAACATGAAAAGATTTGGAAAATATCTGTTGACAACGAGATCGCGGTAAGAATGCTTCACAAATCGACCGAAATCTACACGGCAGTTTACGACGCCGATGTCAATTTCGTTACGCGATTGGACTATGCATAGACTCGTTAGTTCAACCAAAATATTACTTCATAACTCCAGCCCAGTTCTTCAAGGGTTGAAACTGGATTTTTAAAGTCAGTCTTGCCTCGGGGAGATGTTTCGCTGACTACTCACATATGATCTGGTAGTCTTGCAGGTGAGGCGTCCTGTTTTCTCCTCTGCCTCGTCATCGAATCCAGGCCACCGCGCCCATCCACTCGTCCCCTTCACCGTGGCGGGGAGATGAGCGATGGCAAACCCCGACTGTTCCAACTCCACCGTCCGCACCACACTCTTCTTGTACGACGTCCAGATTGTGTCCTTGAATACCTTCTCGCAGATCTCAGAGTTTGTCGGGATACTGTAACAAGTGAGTGAGTGAGTGAGTTGGGTTTAAGCTTACAGGCAAGGCTTTGTTGAAATACCAGGGTCATAAGTAGGCCGAAAACGGAGATTCCAAATCAGAGTGAATGAGTGATGTTTTATGCCGCTCTTAGAAATATATCACGGCGGGGCATATCAGTTATTGGCCTCACACATTGTACCCATGTGGGGAATCGAACCCTGGCCTCCTATGTGAGGAGCGAACGATTAAATCACTGGGCTAGCAACTACCCAGGAAAAGAACGGACGTGTATTAATATTTCTTCAGTATTTCAATATGAATATCTTTTCGACTTAGGTTTCGACGGTTACAAGTTCATATTATCAAAGCACACTGACTCTATAGGCATGTAGTCCTTTTTCAGGTAGTCCTCCACCTGCCTGCGAGGACACATCCTCTTGAATGTCCTCACAGCAACCCTGAGCAGCTTCACGCCTTCGCTCATCAGTGTGATGGGGACAATGGAAGTAGACGGCTCCAGCGACAGAAGACGCAGGTCCTACAACAAGGAACACAGGACTTCATCCATAGCCAAACTGTGATATACACGTGCATAAACCATCGTGCCGAATCATCACCCTCTTCCCTGACCGCCATCCACCCCGGTCACCCCCTTCCCCTGATTCCCCTAGCCCCCTCCGCCAGCCCCCATCCCATCCCATCAATCCACATACTATCCCCAAATTATACTACTCCACAGGCCTCCCCTTCCCCCGACAAAAATAAGGCTCATATATATACTTTTCTTAGCAACAATTAACCCCATTTACATTGAAAAGGAGCCCCAGTGAGATGGGAAAATCTAGACTTTGTACATTTACCCCCCCCCCCCCCCCCCCTTTACCCCCCCTTTACCCCCCCCCCCCCCCCCCCCCCCACACACACACACACATAAATGACCCCTCACCGTGTTTTCTCCCTCTCTGATGCAGCCTACACACGCCTGTTTCGTCCTGCTTCCTCCGCCGACCTCCTCATTGTCCGGCTTCCGATAGTGCAGTTCCTTGTCCATCATGCCCTTAGCGGTCAGGTCCAACATGTCGCTGACACTGAACCGCTTCAGCAGTGACACCCGTCCCTGGACACACAATAAACACGAGGATTTATGACGTGGATAAAAGTATCTTATAAGTGAGTGAGATGGGTTCAACACCACCCTTTACAGTATTCCAGTTACATCATGGCGTGTCTGCTTAAAGTGGGAGGAAAACCCGAAGTGATGCGAGTCTTGGACGTTTACCACTTCGGTGAAACCCACGAGCCAGGGTATGGTACTGACAAACCTAGGAACATAATCGGGACGAAAAGAGATAGTCGAACCCACGAAAAAAAAGTTTCTATGACGACTTAGGGGCGTAACTCTAAACAGCGAGTTACGGCGCCTTAGAGTATTAAATCATACACAGAAGACACCCAACATTTTAAACTTTCTGTATGCACATTGGTCTTGTCTTCTTTCTGTTTTGAAATAATACCGTTACGAATGTCGTAAACAAAAAACGTTCTGTCCTACGATAGCAGCCATCAATACTTTAGCATAGAATTACGATAGTCGTAGCGCAAAGATCGCGTTGTGAAACAAGGCTCGGACAACTAATTGAGCTTGGTCCATGACATAGCAACAGCCGATGAAATTGCCCTGGTTGCCGAAGATGGCGTCACAGTATCGTTATTGTTTCTTTGGGGTTTTTTAACACCACACTCAGCAATATTCCAGCTATATGATGTCGGTCTGTAAATAATCGAGTCTTCACCAGACAATCCAGTGATTGACATCACGAGCATCATCCACACAATTGGGATACGATGACATGCACAACCAAGTCAGTGAGCCTGACCACCCGATCCCGTTAGTCGCCTCTTTCGACAAGCATGTGTTGCTGAAGGTCTTCAATGGTCAGTATGTTGTTGATAGTGTACGTACGGTCATGACGAAGTAGACGTAGTTGGCCTTTGACCAGTCCTGCTCTATAGTGCGGCCGTGGGGGATGTAGAGCACCTGGGAGTTAAAACACAGGCTCTCGAACTGCTCGGGGTCCCAGCCTTTGAAGATTGGGAACTTCCTGGAACCAAGTACAAACATGAGTTGTCAGCGGTCAGAGTCTTTCATTATATGTGTTATTGTTCTTGAGTAGCTACAGATACATACACCGTTAAAGAATTCCACTACATTTTTTTTAATTTGAAAAAAATATATAATTGTTTTATGAGTTGAAATTTCATTCTCTCCGACAACAGATATGATGACGTCACATAATAAATGACATTGTCTGTCAATGCCGTTTAGCTCGTGGAATCATTATTACAAATGTGCGTCGTATAGAATTATTATATAATTAACTTATTTGTTATTGTTCTTGTACTACAGCTAAATCTACCGTTAAAGAATTCAACTACATTTTTTTTTAATTTGGGAAAAAATATATAATTGTTTTATGAGTTGAAATTTCATTCTCTCTGACAATCGCCTCATCTCACCAATATTCTCATCGGGATATTGTTCCGTGATGATTTTTTAAATACTTTGATTGGAATGTGACGTTTACGTTAGTCAACTACGTGGGGATTGCGGGTCGGAATATAGCTGTAGGTAAGAAGCAGTCTATTAGCTTGTCGAGAAGATAATGTATCAATATGATGTCAACAATTAATAGACTGTGACGTCATAACATATGATGACGTCACAACAATAGATGACATTGTCTGTTAATGCCATTTAGCACGTGGAATCATTATACAAATGTGCGTCGTATAGAATTATTACGCCGCTTTTAGCAATATTCCAGCAATATCACAGCGGGGGACACCAGAAATGGGCTTCACACATTGTACCCATGAATCGAACCCGGGTCTTCGGCGTGACGAGCGAACGCTTTAACCACTAGGCTACCCGACCGCCCCAATTTAATTGACCGTAGACACACAATAATGCTTACTTTGCGAATGCCATCTTCTCTGAAAGCTCTACTTTGAAGATGCCCGGGCACACGTCCATGAAGGTGGTCTTGTCAATCTGGAACAACTCAGTGGGCTCCCGACAGATCACACAGGCCGACCGCTCGCCGTCACCCATCAGGGCGATTTCCTTTGAACGACATCAGAAGAATAATCTCTTTGTCTATATGCAAAACGTCAACGCCAGAAAATAACCAGTCTCGATTTTCTGCCGAAACAATTTCTACTGAGCGTAAAACATAGCGACGAAAATTATATGAATTGATCACTGAAAATCAGTGATGACACCAGGTGTTCGCGAGAAGGGTAAGCATGTTCTGTCGGTAACATAAGCCACTCACACAATTTAAAAAAAAATAATTGTTTGATTTTTTCACACCGCACCCAGCAATACTCTTGTCATACAACGGCGCCATTTAAACCTCAATCAAACACGTCTGGGATGCTCTTGGCAGAAGTCTGCGCACTCTCCAGAACCAACCACAGAATTTGCAAGATCTTGGCACCATTTTGCAGCAACAATGGCGTCGTCTTCCCAATCATGTGTTCACAAGCATCACAAGGTCCATGCGGAGGCGTTGTGTGGCAGTTGTCAACGCACATGGTGGCCATACACGCTACTGAACTTGTGTGCCATCAGATTCTCGTGCTTGGGACTTATGATTTAAACTGTTGATGCTATTATCGAATGCCGTAGTTGCTTGGAACAAATAATGGTTACCACCGTTAATTAAAATCCTTCTTTGGACATTAATGATTAAAAATTACCTTCTCTGATACATTTGTCCGTTGTATATCATATATGGGATTACTTTTAAAAATGTGAAGTTTTTAATTTGACTCAGTATATAATCGTCAAACATTACAGACAGAACATCAAACATGAAACATGATAACGTCAAACATGATAGAAAATGAATTTATGAACAACATATGAATTACAAATGCTCGAACAATATCGGGATGATTTATCGATAGTACAATCATAAACGTCTAACATGTTCGCGTTACATTTATGAGTGAGTGAGTATGGTTTTACGCCGCTTTTAGCAATATTCCAGCATTATCACGGCGGGGGACACCAGAAATGGGCTTCACACATTGTACCCATGTCGGGAGTCGAACCCGGGTTTTCGGAGTGACGAGCTAACGCTTTAACCACTAGGCTACCCGACAGCTCCCGTTACATTTATGAACATCATTCGTAAAAAGGCATGACGTTCTAAACGGCATCATCCGTATAGTACATCGTTGTAACACCAAACGGCACTGGAGCCGGTGCCACAAAGCGATCTTAGCATTACGACTATGGTAAGTAGATATATAAGTAAAGCTAAAGTCGCCAATGACTCTTTCACGGGATACATCTAGAGTAATCTTTTTAAACTTCAGATCAAGAACGTAAACATTTCTCAAAGTGAAATGAAATAATCAACGTTTTAAATTGATTAACAGCTTTTTGATCTAATAGATATACAAATAACGAATAGGTAAGATTATATGAATTGAAAATGACAGCCATCTTTATCTAAAAAAATAATCACCGACGAACATCTCTTTGAACTTGTTGAAATAAAAGGACAGAAAAGTGAGATAAAATTATTTGAACATAATCACTAATTTTCATCTCAAATGTTTATACGCTGATAAGTAATTCTTTGAACTGCCAGCTCAGAAAAGGGTCAGGATGTAATCTTACATTTAAGAAAGATAACTCGTGAATTTATGATAAACTATTTAATAAACACATTTCCAATGGGATAAGTTTTTCTGTACTACCTCAAATGTTCCTTACATTCATTTCTGAAAGTCGGCCGTTTGAAATTTGAAAATGATAAACAACGAAACCGTTCCCAATAAATATAATAACTGTTTCATTTTTTAAATATTATTATTATTTGTTTTAAAATACGTCCAACGAATCCCAAACATCCGTGTTTATTTCATATTATAAGGTTATAAGTTCTATGGATATTATTCTGAGTGAATATTCCGAGTATAAATTGTAATTACATGACGTCATTTAATACCTTCAAAGAGTAAAATCAAAATCTTGGCACATGCCACAAATATAACAAACTGATGGACAAAAATAAACTATTCATATCTTGTCTTTTTATGTTTTCGGGGCGGTCGGGTAGCCTAGTGGTTAAAGCGTTCGCTCGTCACGCTGAAGACCCGGGTTCGATTCCCCACATGGGTACAATATGTGAAGCCCTTTTCTGGTGTCCCCCGCTAAACGCGGCGTAAAATCATACTCACTCACTTTAAATGTTTTCCCTTCTTTTGAATTTCAGGAAAGAATAGTATGGTCGTACACCTCTTAAATAGAGAGGTTTTTTTTAATTTGACCAAAAAAGCACAAACCTTTAATAACAAAACGTTACTAGGCTGCCCTGTTGTGAGATGTCGTCTATGATATCCTAATAAAACACAACATACTTTCTTGTTTGTTTCATTTTAAGTCACCATCAAACATGGGTGTGTATCTCTTTTGCCCGGCAGTTCATATGTTTTACAATAAACAAATAATGATAAGCAAATCACAATCTCATCCCGTTCCTAAAATAAGCTCCCATCAATAAAGATGAAGGAATATATTGTGCTTATTACCAAATTGAAGAAAACACTGACATCATGTTTGTGATCATAATCAATTACACAGAAATCATCAATAAACAAATAAACAGTAGAAATATACAAATACACAGTATAAACAAACAAACTGCCTACACCCGTCTACATAATTAAACATACCTTTGACATATGTTCCCTAAACAAACAACCATGTTTACAAGGTAAGACATCCAGGACGCTGTATACGATCTCCATTGCGAGCTACAACTAGACGAATGAGCTGATGCCACAGGTAATATGAGATATCTCCCAAATCTCAATCACCTTATATTTTTAGTACTATGTGTTACGTGAAGGACGTGATTAATGATACCGTCTGTGTAAATTGATATGGTCGTAGTTCCCCTAAAACTCTCTGTAATCCCTTAAAGAAAAGCAACACAGGTTAGTAATGCATTACTAAAATTAAATATGGTTGTTGGTTTTTTAAGTAGATGACATTTTGTGATGATACAAATGCTAAAATTAAAGGTTTTCGTGTGTTAGAAAATTTGTGTGAAACTTGTATCTTGTACATGTCATCGTATGTACTTGGATACAAGAAACTATTTTTATTAGACGCATTTTAGAATATTTAATTGTACATGTAACAAGTATAAAATATTTACAACGGTTTTCAGTGAGTTGTGTGTGTGTCTTGGACACTGGTGATCAATAATGGTTGTCAAGGACTCCCTGTAATTGTATTATTGTATATAATACAAATAGTATCCCTTAAAATACAGACTTACCTTGTCAACAACCTCCATCAATACAGAAACAAAATATACAGGTACAATTAGCTTTCACTTCAGTTTGTCCTTCCTTCAACAGCAAGAAACAAAGATTGCTGAACCATCAAATATTTACATCATTCACACGTTCTATTTTTACTAACCTAATTCAAGCGACCATGGGAAGCCCACACTTTGTTTATATTGCGTTTTTTAGAAGTACTATGGTATCCAAACACAAATGAGATGAGTGACTGAATCTTTTATGACCTACAACACATAGGTGTGACCTAGGTTCGTGACATACAAGAACAGTTGACTTGTGCACACCGGAAGTAGAGGACGGGAGGAATGATGGGAGTTGATACATTAATACGCTGGGGAGAGTGTTGCGGCCCGTGGTAACGATTCGATCTGATTTGTAATTTATCGATACGGTGATTTTATCTTGCTAGGCTTATCTCCCCTAGATTGGGGATTAATTTGTTAGTTTGGGCTGGATGACAGTGACTGGGGGTGGTAGAGTGATTGTTATGCTGGTTGTCATTAGAGAGTATAGCCTCCCTGTTATCAAATGTATTCCGGGCTGTTCTTAACCATGCACGTCACCAACTGGGACAATTGTTTTTCTTTCATCACTGGGTCTTGAACTACTGCGTCATTGCTGTATACGCCATTTTGTTTGTCCACCCAAAGACGTATATAGATGCGTCTTTGGTCCACTTTGATCTGTACACGTCTTTGGTCCCCCATTATGTTTATGTGAGCATCATTTTGTTTACTCACTGTTACGTTTGAGAATCATTGTTTGTTTCGGCACATGTTTACTCGCCGTTATATTTGTTCATCATTATGTTTACTCGCCGTTGTGTTTGTTCATCATTACGTTTACTCGCCGTTATGTTTGTTCATCATTATGTTTACTCGCCGTTTTGTTTGTTCATCACTATGTTTACTCACTGTTATGTTTGTTCATCATTATGTTCAATCGCCGTTTGGTTTGTGAATCATTATGTTTACTCGCCGTTACGTTTGTTCATCATTATGTTTGTTCATCATATGTATAGTCGCCTTTGTGTTTGTTCATCATAATGTTTAATCGCCGTTTGGTTTGTGAATCATTATGTCTGTTCATCATATGTTTAGTCGCCTTTGTGTTTGTTCATCATGATGTTCACTCGCCGTTATTTTTGTGAATCATTGTTTACTCGCCGTTACGTTTGTTCATTATTATGTTTGTTCATCATATGTTTAGTCGCCGTTGTGTTTGTTCATCATGATGTTTACTCGCCGTTATTTTTGTGAATCATTGTTTACTCGCCGTTATATTTGTGAATCATTAAGTTTGCTCGCCGTTGTGTTTGTTCATCATTGTTTCCTCGCCGTTATGTTTGTTCATCATTATATTTCCTCGCCGTTATGTTTGTTCATCATTATGTTTCCTCGCCGTTATGTTTGTTCATCATTATGTTTCCTCGCCGTTATGTTTGTTCATCATTATGTTTCCTCGCCATTATGTTTGTGAATCGTTCTGCTAAGGCACCGCTATGTTGCAAGTACACCATTATATTTGGACATCGTCAAGTTTCTGCTTCAGTTTGTTTGTTTATCGTTTGTTTTAAGTTGGTGCATCGTGATGTTTGTGACTCGTTATATGTGCGCTTCATTATGTTTGTGCCTCGTCATGTTTGTGCATCACAATGGAACCTGGGTCCAAATGTTTGTGCGTTACATTGTTTTTTTGTTTTGCTTTAACCTTATAAATTGTAGATAATTAACGTTTCAGCTGGACACGTGATAACAGTATGGTGGACCTGCATATGACTCCATGAATGTTGTATATTTCTACACTCTTTTGTTGTGAATGCTGAGTCTAGTCTGAGTCTTGACCACCACAGCCCATTCCTGAGCCCCCATCACATCGTGTGGCCTTACCCCAAATTATTTCGATCCCCGAGCCCCATCACATCGTGTGGCCTTACCCCAAAGGATTCCCCGTTCCCGAGCCCCATCACATCGCGTGGCCTTACCCCAATGGATTCCCCGTTCCTGAGCCCCATCACATCGTGTGGCCTTACCCCAAAGGATTCCCCGTTCCCGAGCCCCATTACATCGTATGGCCTTACCCCAAAGGATTCCCCGTTCCCGAGCCCCATTACATCGTGTCGCCTTACCCCAAAGGATTCCCCGTTCCTGAGCCCCATCACATCGTGTGGCCTTACCCCAAAGGATTCCCTGTTCCTGAGCCCCATCACATCGTGTGGCCTTACCCCAAAGGATTCCCCGTTCCCGAGCCCCATCACATCGTGTCGCCTTACCCCAAAGGATTCCCCGTTCCTGAGCCCCATCACATCGTGTCGCCTTACCCCAAAGGATTCCCCGTTCCCGAGCCCCCATCACATCGTGTGGCCTTACCCCAAAGGATTCCCCGTTCCCGAGCCCCATCACATCGTGTCGCCTTAGCCCAAAGGATTCCCTGTTCCTGAACCCCGTCACATCGTGTGGCCTTACCCCAAAGGATTCCCCGTTCCTGAGCCCCCATCACATCGTGTGGCCTTACCCCCCAAGGATTCCTGTTACCGAGCCCCAATCACATCGTGTGGCCTTACCCCAAAGGATTTCCCATTCCTGAGCCCCCAGCACATCGTGTCGCCTTACCCCAAAGGATTCTCCGTTCCTGATGATGTTCTCGGTGGTGGTGGTGACGTTGCCGGTGTAGGGGTCCTCCAAGTCTATCTGGATGAACACGGACCCGGTGAAGATGAAGTAAAAGTCTTGTCCATAGTGGCCTTGTCTCAGTACCACCCGGCCTGCGTCACACCTGAAGGACACCATATTTTGCTGGTGACTACATTCGATATGGTGAGGAGAGGTGAACTGAGGCTTAACGTCGTCTGTATTCGTGGCTGTTTGTACTAGTCCGGACAACTCCCGGTTTTATAGTGCTCCCACTGAGATACCATGCCACAGTTTAACATGAATACCCCACTCAGACACAGTGTACTGACTCCGAGTCGACCAGTCCCTGTTTTAGCCTGTTAATGCCGAGCGCCAGGCAGGGTAACAACATCTGAATATAAGTGAATGAATGAATGTTGTTTTATGCTACTGTTACAGCTAAGTCCCCGGCTTGTATATATTCGAGCCTGAATTAAGTACCTAAGTGGCTTTCAGCACGAACAACAATCCACGCTGTCAGGGCATAGTGGCACACGCATAACAATGTCTACGTTGTGACCATTCAATCCTCATCGAGGGGGTTGCTGGGAATATCTTCAGCGTTTCACCCCACGGGGGTCGTTATACATAATTGTGCATTATAAACAAACAAACAAACAAATAATAAAGACATGTCAATTGTAACACAATACAATAGTGCACTCACTGAGTGTACCGGACGACCTTGCACATCTTCAGACGCATGTCCTCTGTGAACTTTTCTTTGAAACTGCGCATGTTCAGCAGGAGCGTATGTAACCTCTGAACGTCCTCCTCCGTCCGGAACCTGGGGTGTTTGATTGTGACTGCCTGGGCCCACAGCGGCACTCGTGATGTCTGGACAGGGCAACCCAGTATAAAGACATTATTGGCACAAATTGTCAGAGACCGTGTTCATGCTGGTGTAGTTAATTAACTAACATAAATATAAAAGTAAACCGATTATTTAAAAACTCCAAGCAAAAATCTCAACCACATCGGTTCTTAAACACACACAAATCTGTATCCCAATTTTAAAATTTGAGTCGTCATATGTTTTTTTGTAATGGCCTAGAGTTTTAAATACTTGAAACGTGTCACGAGTGAAAACGAACGTCATCCTATAATCATGACGCGATCTGTACTGTGGGTATCTTCCTGAGGCCAGGGAGTTAACTGACTTTAAAAAGTTTCCGCCCTTGCCGAACTAGGCTGGAATTATGGAGTTATAGTTTGGCTGGCTGTTCTATGCATAGTCCAATCAAAATCCTGTAACGATATAGACATCCGGTTCATAAACAACATGGCGACATCGAATTCGTTCGTTTGCAGGATTTGCATGTGTACCGTCAACTTGGCGTCGACACATATGTTCCAAATCTGGTCATGTTTCTAATGATCAAGTCATATGATGCACTTCGCGAGGTAAAACCCGTTTTATTACAACAAAGATCTGTATTATCGATGAGACCGTCTTGACTGGTGTCCGCCAGTTTGTTTGAAGCAAGTGCAAGTGATATGAGAGATGGAATCTGATTGGTCAGTAGGTGGGCACATAGAAGGGACATAACTCGTAATAGCCACTAGTGGCGCAACGATCGAGCCCAGAAATTCCTGGCTTGTTCAGTTCATCCCCTTGCCTCGGGAAGATGTCCTGTTGGTTGAATCTCTGTCTCGCCGCGGCTAGATGTAATATTGCATATCACACAGTGGGGAGTAGAGAAAAGTTATTTACGAAGAGGATCTGAGAGTATGATTCTCGTTAAATTAGAATTATATAATTGAATAGTTTACCATGAACCAACGTCCGGGAAGATGAGCCTGTTATCATCGCAGTAATCTAGTACCATTACAATTTTTGGTGTCAAATGTTCTACAAAACCTGGCCCCCCTTACGCTTCAAAATGTTTCTAATTTATTGACATCGTATAAAGACTATCGAAAAGATAGAAATCTTTCTTTAGGCGCACCGCTCTCTTCCTAGAAAACCAGGACTTGTCAAAGAACAGTTGTTGCGTGGGGTCGTCGTTGCCGGTGCTGGGGCCGCTGATGTTGATGTAGTACATCTCCGAGATGGGCGTCTGTTCTGTCTTCTGCATCGACAATTTCTGCATGTCCAGGCATAGCTTGACAACGGCCTTGATGACTCGGGAGTACCATGCGAAGGTTCTTGTCCTCTGAAACAGGACCACAAATAAAATCATACGATACGAGTTACGATGCGCATCAGTGATATTTCAAAATACGTGTTATGTTTATGTCATTTCTAACATATCTACAACACTGACGCCTCTGTTGTCGCATCTTCCCGAGGCAAGCGTGTCCACTAGCCCATACCAAAGCCTAGTGGAAACAAGACTTTGATTAAAAGGCTAGAGGACGCTCTTGCCTCGGGAAGACGCTATTGTCGGGACATGTCGCGGTTTGTGGAGCAGTAGGCAACGGTTGGGAACAAATCATTCAGAGTAGTGTTTCTGTTTCGTTCATGTGTGTACCGACCGCCTCCGTGGTCTAGTGGTAGAGCGTCCGCCCGGAGAGCGGATGGTCCGGGGTTCGATCCCCGGCCGCGTCATACCAAAAGACGTCAAAAGATGGTACTTGTATTTACCCTGTCTGGCGCTCGGCATTAAGGGGCTAAAACAAGGACTGGTCGGCTCGGAGTCAGTATACTGTGCCTGAGTGGGGTGTTCATGTTAAACTGCGGCATGGTATCTCTGTGAGCTAGCACTATAAATCGGCATCAGTCCGGACTAGTACAAGCAGCCACACAAACAAAGACACGTACATGCACGTCGCTATTTAAGTGCAATAATCTTGGACGCGACGTTAAACCCAAATTCTCCACCTCATGTGTGTACCGAACCCTCTCACATAAGAAGATTCCACCCATCATCTGATACTACCAATGCCTTAAGATAATATTATATATGTTACTGTCAATGTCTGTAATTAGGCAATATGTCCATTGACTAAAATATAGCTAAGACACTCCAGACTAGTTTGGATTTTTATAGCCAGTTAACTCCCTTGATGTTAAGAAAAGTCAACACATCACTAATTATTTTTGTTGTTAATAGATAAACAGTAAAACAGATAAGACGCTCAAAAGTTAATTAGTCAAATAATAGGTAGCAGTGACCCGAAGCTGCCGCCTCGTCAAAGCAAATAACCTGATCAGAAGCCAGATAGTTACAATGGTTACATGTCAAGAGACCCGTGAAGATCCGGGGTAGAATAGGTCTTCAGCAACCCATGCTTGCCGTAAAAGGCGACTATGCTTGTAAATGACGATAACCGGGATCGGGTGGTCAGGCTCGCTGACTTGGTTGATGCATGTCATCGATCCCAAATGTGTAGATGGATGCTTATGATGCCAATTACGGGATTGTCTGGTCCAGACTCGATTATTTACAGCCCGCCGTCATATAGCTGGAATATTCCTGAGTGCGGCGTTAAACAGCAAACAAACAAACAAAACATGTCAAAACAAGAGGTGACTTTGACCTGTAAGATAAGTGGACCGTAATACTATTAACTTTTGCAATGCGTACTTCAATGGTAGCTTCGCTTCATGAACAACTGTTAACAAATGTCTCATTACAAGTCGCTGTTGTTGACCACGAACGAATATTTTTGTGTTATTTGAAGAACTCAAAGAAACCCATATCGACGACAGGTTTGTCATCGTGAGTGAGTGAGTGAGTTGGGTTTAACGTCGCTTTTAACATTATTCCAGTTATATCACAGCGTGTCAGCTTAATGTGGGAGGAAAGCCCGAAGTGATGCAGGTCTCAGACGTTTACCACTTCGGTGAAACCCACGAGCACGGGTATGGTGCTGACAAACCTAGAAACATAATCGGGGCGAACCGGGATTCGAACCCACAATCATAGGTTTCTGGCGTGCCCAAGGGACGCAACTCTGCACAGCGAATCGCGGCGCCTTAGACGACTGGGCCACCCGTGCCCCCGTTTGTCATCGTGAACTTGTCATGGTGGGCGTGACAAAATATTGAAAGCAATGACTAAATAAGCTGATATCACTCGTGAGATAGTAAAAATGAACAAATCAATTTGAATGTTAAAAGAAGTGTACACGAATTGCAATGAAGATCGTTGTTGGTTTACTCATTCTGTCAACGGACTTTGGATCTCGAGGCCATCTCATCGTGAGATGAAAATAGATGTGTAAAAATAAATTGGTTCAATGAAGACTGGGGTAAAAAATGAATTTTCAACAACATGACCCCTACCATGTTTGAAATGTTGTAAATTTGTGTCGGAAAAAGCAAATTTATTGATTTTTCAAAGATAAGATTCGAAGATTCCGATTAGCAGTTTCGTATTATGCGTAATGTTTTGCTTAATTGTTAATCAAATTAATTTTAATCAAATAATATTTTAGCAAATCAAACCATGTAGAAGTAGTCTTTGAATGCTGACTTAGTGTCAGTACTGTTTGTTTTATAACATCGCTAACGTAAGATATTTTCAAATGAAAATCAAACATAAGATAAAATCAAATATGATATGCATAGTTTCTTTTGCCCAGCGTCATTACGACATATATTGATTGAAAGTAACACTACATCTACAACTTCCCTATCTAACAAGACCGCCTCCGTGGTCTAGTGGTAAAACGTCCGCCCGGAGAGTGGAAGGTCCGGGGTTCGATCCCCGACCGTGTCATACCAAAAGACGTTAAAAGAAGGTACTTGTTGTTACCCTGTCTGACGCTCGGCATTAAGGGGCTAAAACAAGGACTGGCAGTCGGCTCGGAGTCAGTATACTGTGTCTGAGTGGGGTATTCATGTTAAACTGCGGCATGGTATCTCAGTGAGCTAGCACTATAAATCAGCATCAGTCCGGCCTAGTACAAGCAGCCAGCCACACACACACATACACGTGCACGCACGTCGCTATATAAGTGCAATAATCTTTGACGCGACGTTAAACCCCATTTCACCTCACCTCACCCCTATCTAACACTAGATGTTCTTTTCAATTTCCCTTTCCAGCACGACATAATCTTTTCAGCATTATGATCATTATGATTTTGTCGGAGTAAAATGTTGAACAGTGAATAAAAAAAGGATATTGTGAAATGTGACATAGGTATACATATTTCATTGCCCGACGTCGGAAGATCGATATCGCCTTTGATATGTTATTGATTTCTCTAAGTCTAGGAAAGTGTCGGTGTCAGTTCAGTTCATCCTTTGTACGACAACACTGTACATGTATCGTGACAGGCACTACTGACAGCGTTGTAAAAGGCAGGGCAAACACGTTGGCATAAATCCTTTGGTTTTCCTAACTTATGATCGCCACCCAGGGTCTACGATACAATTAACCCCTATAATCCGGACCCCGGTACTTACTTACTAAGGAACGTCTATTAAAACAGCGACAAAATTCTTTCAATGATCATAAGAAATCATACCTTTTAACGATTCCGATTGCATCATAACAATGTACACACCCGGGTAAAAGGAAGTGTACACTTGAAAATTGGATTTGAAAAAATATATAAGCATAACGTTACCAAAACGTTACTATGTTGACCTGTTGTATAATACTCATTGAGTGAGTGAGTGAGTATGGTTTTACGCCGCATGTAGCAATATTCGAGCAATATCACGGCGAGGAACACCAATAATGGGCTTAACACAATGAGTGAGTGAGTGAGTTGGGTTTAACGCCGCTTTTAACAATATTCCAGTTATATCGCGGCGTGTCAGCTTAATGTGGGGGGAAAGCCCGAAGTGATGCAGGTGCAGATGTTTACCACTTTGGTGAAACCCACGAGTACGACTATGGTGCTGACAAACCTAGGAACATAATCGGTGCGAATCGGGATTCGAACCCACAATCATAGGTTTCTGGCGTGCCCAAGGGACGCAACTCTACACAGCGAATCGCGGCGCCTTAGACGACTGGACCACCCGCGACCCCCCCCCCCCCCCCCCCCCCCCTCTTTAACACAATGGACCCATCGAAACCGGGTCCTCGGCGTGACGAGCGAACGCTTTAACCAAAAGGCTACCCCAGCGCCCCTCAGTGCATGCAGTATCGCCCATGGTATCCGTAATACATACGAAGGGCGTTCAATAAGTTTTGCAACTTCAATATAAGACCAATATTTTTCAATATAATCTTCATTCACCTCAATACACTTATTCCATTTGTCCTTCAAGCTTTAAATACCACTTTTATAGAAATCCGCAGATTGGCCCTCTAACCACGCCTCTGTGGCAGCCGTTATGTCCTCGTCATCCTGGAAGCATCTTTCACGTAGGGCAGATTCAGGAACAGGAAAAAGTCACTGGGGGCTAAGTCTGGGCTGTAAAGTTAAATCACCCACCCTACAGGCCAGACTGGATCGGGTGGTCAGGCTGGCTGACTTGGTAGATGCATATCATCGTATCCCAATTGCGTGGATCGATGCTTATGATATCGATCACTGTAATGTCATGTCTAGACTCGATCGTAGCGCCACCAGTGGCTATTACCAGTTATATCCCTTCTATGTTCCTTCTATTGGCCAATCAGATTCCATCTCTCATATCACTTGCATTTGCTTCAAACAAAATGGCGGCGCCCAGTCAAGATTCTCTGCTCGATAATTAACGTCTACATTGTGGGCCTTACCCCGCGAAGTGCATCAAATCACGTGCATCAAAAGCCTGAAAGAATTTGCAAAATATCTGTCGACGCCCACTTGGCGGTACACATGCTTTGCAAATCCTGCACGTTGAAATCCATGTTGTTTATGAACCGGATGTCCAGTTCGTTACACTCGTTAGTCCGGCCAAAATGTAACTCCGTAATTGCAGCCTAGTTCGGCAAGGATGGAATCTGGATTTTTATTGTCAGTTAATTCCCTTGCCTCGGGAAGATGAAACATAGGGTACTCCGGATTATACCAGTTAATTTCTGTATTAGATGAAGGATTACGTTCTTCATTGCACGGAAATGGAATACCAAGTTCACTTAACTATAAAAAGATGTTTAAACAGGCGGTCGAATAGCCTAGTGGTTAAAGAGTTAGCTCGTCACGCCGAAGACCCGAGTTCGATTCCCCCACATGGGTACAATGTGTGAAGCCCATTTCTGGTGTCCCCCGCCGTGATATTGCTGTAATATTGCTAAAATCGGCGTGAAACAAAACTCACTCACTCACTCACATGTAATTATAGAAATACAAAGGTCACAGTGTAAATATTCTAGCAACATCGTGGAGGGGACACCAGAAATGGACTTCACACGCAGTACCCATAAGGGGAATCGAACCCGGGCGTCCGGCGTGACATGTGAACGCGTTCACCAGCAGGCTACGCCACCGCCCCGTGTAAATACGAACAAACACGCTACGTGCATATTGTCCCAGTATTGAAGTGGGAAGACAAGAGTTATATTCATCATTAAGACACATATTGATCAGAACGAACTGATGTCATTGCGAGACAACCATGATTGATGGTACACACGAGGCGCGCAGCCTACGTCATGAAATGAACGATGTCCCGACCAGGTATATCCGTGTTTGTTGCTACTCAGTCTGTCAGCTGGAAGATTAACACGTGCACCATATTAATGGGCGTGGCCAGCATGAGGATATGCAGCACTCTGCTTTCTAAGAATCTCTTCACTTAACAGTGAGTGAGTGAGTTGGGTTTAACGCCGCTTTTAACAGTATTCAAGTTATATCGCGGCGTGTCAGCTTAATGTGGGAGGAAAGCCCGAAGTGATGCAGGTCTCAGACGTTTACCACTTCGGTGAAACCCACGAGCACGGGTATGGTGCTGACAAACCTAGAAACATAATCAGGGCGAACCGGGATTCGAACCCACAATCATAGGTTTCTGGCGTGCCCAAGGGACGCAACTCTGCACAGCGAATCGCATCGCCTTAGACGACTGGGCCACCCGTGCCCCCCTTCACTTAACAGAAGTAGTCCGTCACAGCTGAGTGTCTGCACGACAGTGTAACACTGATGTGGGCTCATCTTCCCGAGGCAAGGGAGTTAACTGACTATGAAAGTCCAATTTCCACCCTTGCCGAACTAGGCTGGTATTATGGAGTTACATTTTGGTTGGGCTAACGAGTCCAACGAAATCGAAATCCGGTTCGTAGACTGTCGTGCTGATTTCGGTCGATTGCAGGATTTGCAAAGCATGTGCACCGCCAACTCGTTGTCAACAGATATTTTGCAAATCTTTTCATGATTTTAATCAAGGTGCTCACGTGATTTGATGCACTTTGCGATGTAAGACCCGTTTTATCACATCATAGATCTTGATTATCGATCAGATCGTCTTGACTGGGCGCCGCTATTTTGTTTGAATCAAATGCAAGTGAAACGAGAGATGGAATCTGATTGGTCAATAGGGGAGGCATAGAAGGGAAATAACTCGTATTATAGCTAAAATGGATAGAATTATCATTAAACCGCCCGCACGTTATCAGAAATGAGCGGGCCACTGTAACTTGATAATGCCCTCATAATGCTTGACGACGGGCCATTATCAAGCCCGTTGTGAGGTGACGTCATAAGGTAGAGAAAGTGACGTCACGTATTATAGTGACGTCATCTGGTTTGTTCTATGACGTTTCCATGTTTGTAAAATGGGGTCAGTGACATTCGTGTTGATTGCAAAAAATTTAAAAACCGATGTTGTTGTTTCTTTTTATTTGATAACAAATTCCATCCATTTTAGCTATAATAACGATAACGCTATTTTTCAGGGCATTATCATATGCAGAAGCCCTCGGTCTTTTCAACTGCCCTCCTTCGTCGGGCAGTTAATGGAAAACCTCGGGCTTCTGCAAATGATAATGCCCTGAAAAATAGCGTTATCCTTATAATAATCACTGGTGGCGCTACGATCGAGCCCAGGAATTCCAGCCTAGTTCGGCAAGGGTGGAAACTGGACTTTTTAAGTCAGTTAACTCTCTTGCCTCGGGAAGATGATGTGGGCTATGTCATATTAAATTATGTATGAGATATGAATATTAGTCAGGATATTATACTACTCAAAAGAAGTTGCAGAACACACGAATTTTTCATATGACTACTGTTAATCTGTCATGATTTCTTTTGAGGAGAATATTTAAATTTTTACAACAATTGGAAACAGTCTCAGTAGGGTCTGGTGAGGTAGGTTAGTAATTCGATGCCATAACGATTCCCCATATGTTTGTAAATTTTTGTTTAAAGCCGCACTCAGCAATATTCCAGCTATGTGACGGCGGTCTGTAAATTATCGAGTCAGGACCAGACAATCCACTAATTGACATCATGAGACTCCATCTACGAAATTGGGATCGATGACATGCATCAACCAAGTCAGCGAGCCTGACCACCCGATCCCGTTAGTCGCCTCTTATGACAAGCATAGTCGTCTTTTACGGCAAGTATGGGTTGCTGAAGACCTAATCTGATCCGGATCTTCAAGGAACAGTAGATACCGTTGTGTGTATGTTTGGCGCCCCGCTTCGTCATATTTGCTGGGCGGGTGCTACATACTGCGTTGGTAATTGTGACGTTGAAAGTTGTCCATGCTATCAACCATCGCTTTGCCTGCCAAGATTATTTACGATCGGCGTGATAGAACTGCCTAAGGCGTAAAACAACATTGACTCTCTCATTTGCCGCTGATATTTAGGTAACCGTAAGGTGATCCCCGACCGCGTCATACCAAAGACGTTAAAAGATGGTACTTGTTGTTACCCTGTCTGGCGCTCGGCATTAAGGGGATGAAACAAGGACTGGTCGGCTCGGAGTCAGTATACTGTGTCTGAGTGGGGTATTCATGTTAAAACTGCGGCATGGTATCTCAGTGAGCTAGCACTATAAATCGGCATCAGCCCGGACTAGTACAAGCAGCCACACAAACACACACACGTACATGCACGTCGCTATATAAGTGCAATAATCTTGGACGCGACGTTAAACCCCATTTCACCTCACCTCACCTCACCTCCAGTCGTGATTATACAGAATACACGTTCAAGTAACATGAGTGAGTGAGTTGGGTTCATCTCAGCAGCATATCAAGGCGTGGGAGGTAGGCTGGAACAAATACAGGTCTTCAACCATAACCTTTGGTGAAACACAAGGGTCTTCTTCAGGGCGAATCTGGGATTCGAACCTACATTCATAGAATCGTAACTAAACATAAACAAAAGCAGTGCTCTCACACACGTGTTATTATTTGAATATTTGAAAAGGGTGCAGGAAATGGGAGCACAGGATCCTGACACACCTAAGGGGCGTGACTCTGTACAGCGAATTGCGGCTAGACTACCCGTGACCCAAATAGAGGTAGAGGGGTTCGATTCCCGCATGTATGCTCGTGCAAAAAATATTCTTGTTATCTTGCTGGAACATTCACTCACCACAAGGGGCGTAGCCTCACTATAACAATCTGTTCATCTATTTTACAATTTTTGCCTTAAATCGACATTTTAAAGTTAAGGACGTTTATATATCAAATATACGAAACGGTGTGGTTGGACGATTGCTTATCAAGGCCCTGGTGCCATCACAACATAAAATGTCAGGCAAAAGAAAGGATACACATGAAAACTCGATTTGACCAAAACATTACAAACGTTACCAAAACGTTACTAGACTGGAAACAGTCGCCGAAACACTGCAAACGTAAGTCCAAAACACAACCCGTATCACATGCATCACCATCAATCATTTCCTGTTTGTTTAATTTATAGCCGCCATCAAACATGGATGTATACTTTCTTTTGCCCGTCAGTTCAGATACAACGTGTGAAGCCCATTTTTTGATGATGGTGTTCCTTGAATATTGCTAAAAGCGAGGTAGGACAATTCTCACGTTCTCACAACAAATCTAAATTTATATAATTCTTACCCTTCTCTTGGCAGCCGCCTCCGCTTCCTGAGCACTTTCAGCAGCATCAGCCATCTCTTGAAGACGTCGAGTGCTGTGGCGAGATCTCCGCGAGTCACTCGAACGCTTGCTTCTTCTCGATTCCGAAGACCCTCTGGATTCCAAGGCCTGGCGACGACGGTACTTAGCCTGGCTCCATTTCCGAATCCGGGTTACAGTGTCGGAAACCTGAAAGAAGGTCCTGAACGACGGTCTAGGGCCCGTGTGCAAGATGGCAGTTATTGTGTCTTGATTGTTAACACCACTCGATGGACCGGAGTCGACGTAGTTCTTGATAACAACAGTCGCAGGCCTTGTTACATTCTGAGCATTAAGACGGGCCTCCCTACCACTCAAAACCCGACCCGAACTGCCTACAGCACTCGAGGGTCGGGAGTTTCCGCTCTGAGGTCGGCTTGAAGATTTTGTTCCACTTAACGGACGTCCAGAGTTGTTCCCGCTGTTGTCCGGCGTCCCACTTAATTGACGTAGCCTGTGTCCACTAGACGGCCTGTTCCTCCTACCATCACCATTTAAAGGAGGACCAGTTTGACCGTTTCCGCTTAAAGGTCTGCTTGGGGACTTTATTCCAGATAATGGTCTCTTTTGTCCAACATTAGAATTACCTCGGATGCTTCGGAGGCGTTCTTCGATAAGCTCAGTCAGAGCCTCGGCTGTTGCGATGGCGTTGTCGGTTTCTGTCGTTACGCCATCGTCGACGGGGGATTTTGGCCTAACACCACGACTCACAGCTCTAGTGTTTTCCAGACCACGGATTTCCGCGCTGCTTGGTCTCGAGTTTTCTTTCGATTCTGATTCGTCTTCTTCTTCAATCACGTCACTCCTCTTGGCACCGTAACCTTGTCCCGACCCCACAGGATCAGAAGCCGCCCGTATTCTGTCCCTAGATCCTCCACCCTCGTCGACAGTGTTCCTGTCCCCTGGGATCCTCGCCGTCGTCGTAGCGTTTGTCAAGCCCGATGGCTCTCTTTGTTCCCAAACCCCCGTCAATGAATTATCCATGTTATTGAATTTATTTGTTCGCTGCTAGCTTTAATCTCTGGTTGGAGACATTAAATAGATATCTCTGTCAATATAGAGTATGGCCATGACGTGAAATCGAACGTGTATGGAACCGCATGGCTATTTATCCTCCAGTTAAGAATCCTTTATATAGTGGTCGACCCAATGACTGAAATATAAACAGTACATGTCATGATCAAATTATATCCGATGTAGACAGCGACCGTCTTCACGTCGTCAAGAGAAAGTATGTAGGTTACTCAAAGGGCTGAATACAAGCTCCCTACATAGCGTGTTCATTGAGGTATGACTATCCATTGGTGTGTTCAATGGTTCCTGTCTTATTCAATATTCATAATCACTGTAAGGATCTTATGTCATACGAAACGCAGTTTGCTTGTTACAAAATGACAAAATCGATTCTGGCTGTTTTATGAATCATGCATTGAAAGATTACAAGTTTGAAGAGAACACAGCATACCTGATCGTACAAAATCGAAGATTCGATTCCGATTCTATAGATAACTAATGGCGTCGAGTGAGTGAGTTTGGTTTAACGTGGCTTTCAACAGGTGAGGTAAGGTGAAATTGGGTTTAACGTCGCGTCCAAGATTATTGCACTTATATAGCGACGTGCATGCACGTGTGTGTGTGTGTGTGTGTGTGGCTGCTTGTACTAGTCCGGACTGATGCCGATTTATAGTGCTAGCTCACTGAGATACCATGCCGCAGTTTAACATGAATACCCCACTCAGACACAGTATACTGACTCCGAGCCGACCAGTCCTTGTTTTAGCCCCTTAATGCCGAGCGCCAGACAGGGTAACAACAAGTACCATCTTTTAACGTCTTTTGGTATGACGCGGCCGGGGATCGAACCCCGGACCTTCCGCTCTCCGGGCGGACGCTCTACGACAAGACCACGGAGGCGGCTGCTTTCAACAGTATTTCATCCTCTAGTAATGCAGGTCGTTTACGTCTGTTGTTATTTCGCTTACAAACCTAGAAACATAATGAGGTCGAACCGGGATTCGAACCCAGATCATAGGTTTCTGGCGCAAGGGACGCAACTCTGTACAAGGAGCTACGGCGCCTTAGACCACTGGACCACTCATACCATTACCTAAACGAAAATGGTATTAATCCTCAAATGTATTTTCATTTCGCCAGGTATGTTTTCGCAACTCTGTACAACTCTTGGGCACACCAGAAACTAATGATTGTGGGTTCAAACCCCGGTTCGCCCCGATTATGTTTCTAGGTTTGTCAGAACCATACCCGTGCTCGTGGGTTTCACCGAAGTAGTAAACGTTTGAGACGCATCACTTCGGGCTTTCCTCCCACATTAAGCTGACACGCCGTGATATAACTGGAATACTGTTAAAAGCGGCGTTAAACCCAACTCACTCACTCACCGAGACCTAATTTCCTCCCAGATTTAGCTGACACGCCGTGATATATATTGAATACTGTTCAAATTGGCATTGAAGTCAACCGCCTCACTCACAGTTCAATATAAGCATACAAATAATGAACATGACACTCACCGAAATTGACACCGCTTCATTTCGCCTCTAACACCTGTACACGTGTGTCAGCTGAAATCGACGTGGCTCTCATCTCACTAAACACACATGCCCGTCAGCTGTCATAACCCCACGTGTCCATCACGTGCAATACACAACTGTTTACAGGTGCGAGGAAAACGTGCGATATCACACGACAAAGTTGTCTATTAACATATCGTACCCATGACTGGCCTTATCGCCCCAGAATTGAATTTAATATTGATTGTGATAACTTCTATATCCGTTCATCAGATCAATCTACAGATTATCTTTCCTTATCGATCTCAATGGGGTACAATATAAGGGTGTCTCCCATTCACGAAGGAATGCCACTTGTGATGGTAAAATGGAGCTGAAATGGACAAGGCCGCATGGGCAATTACAAACTACAGCGAGACTGAAGAGCAGGGTGTAAGTGAGGTTATGAAGAGAGATCTATTGTGTGCAAACATGTATTATCTACTGTCTAAGGGTGAGTGTCGTGTGTTTGGTGTGTTTGGTAGACTTGCACACGTCTCTAAGGCAATAATTATTAGTTTTAATCATAATTAATTTTCTTGATTATATAAATAATAAGAATAAGTTGTCCATATAATAGACGTCCACTTATCTAGACTTGCCTATTATAATGACCTATAATACTCCAATAAAGTCAGTTCAGTAGAGCCTTGGTGCAAGGCTATGTGCTCGGTGGGCATGATTGCTTGTGTTAAAAGGGTAGTCGTACGCAGGCATGTCAATGACAGCGCACCCGGATAGACATGCATGTATTTGCAATTGACCTATACATTAAAGGCGGGCTCGTCTCATTGTCAAAATGGTTTAGCTGTTAGTTGTAATCGGCTCATTTATCATATCAAGAGTTTTATGACGATGACATCTCACAAAAGTTCTTTTTTTGAGCGTAGAGGATATTTTAGGCACATCGTTTGAAGACCCTCCCTGTTTTTACATTTATTAAAAAACAAATGACGTAAAACACAAATACTGTCTGGATAAAATTCAGTTGTCATGGAAACACAAACAGGTCGCGTATGCATGAAACAGATATATTTAAGAGAGATGAGGAATTTCAAACTTGTCATGGATTTACCTTGTTAATAGTAAACGTTATCAATCATGATTTAAATATATCCCTGTGGCACGTGTGTGTGTTTAGGCATTTGTGCTAATACCGTCACCTATATCAGCTCTTGGTTTAAATAGATGGTGTTGGGTAATAACTCGCAGTCAATACGTGGGGTTAATGTCGTGTGATTAGTGACAGGAATGTCTCCCTGATAATTTCATATTACCCGGAAATGATAGCCTGTCAACTGGGAGTCTTAATGCAATCTCCCCCGTCTACCCGCTATCAGCCAATGACCTGACGGGACTGTACAGGGCAGCAGGGCATGGACAGCAGGTCAATGCTGACAAACAGTTGCCGATACAAGAATGCCACACAGGCAAAATAGTAGCAATAGTAGTAGCTGTAGCAGCAGTAGTAGTAGTAGTAGTAGTAGGAGTAGTAGTAGTAGTAGTAGTAGTAGTAGTGAGTGAGTGTGGTTTTACGCCGCTTTTAGAAATAGTCCAGCAATATCACGCCGGGAACACCGGAAATGGGCTTCACATATTGTACCCAAGAATAGTAGTAGTAGTAGTAGTAGTAGTAGTGAGTAGTAGTAGTAGTAGTGAGTGTGGTTTTACGCCGCTTTTAGCAATAGTCCCGCAATATCACGCCGGGGGACACCGGAAAATGGGCTCCACATATTGTACTCAGTAGTAGTAGTAGTAGTAGTAGTAGTAGTAGTAGTAGTAGTAGTAGTAGTAGTAGCAGTAGTAGAAGTAGTAGTAGTAGTAAATAATAATGGTAATGAAATGCACAATAAAGCGCAAAATCTACAGTCCATATCATGCTCATGCTCAGGGCGCTACATTGACAACGGTATAAGGATCTATACCGAAACGTATAATAAAGAAGTTGTTATCCATAACTTGTGTCTACTTGAATAGAATCCGATCCGTAACACAATCCTCAGACATGGCCCAGGAGGTAGAGGAACCAAGGGACGGTGCAAACATACATTTGTACTTTTAAAAACCAAACACTCGGTGTTTGTAATATCGGTAACACAAACGCGCTTTCAATTCGTGTAGATATTGAGCTGTTTACAAAAAGTCTTTCTGTCGGCAACAATATGCATTTCTCCCGAGCCGCCTGCATAACAAAATATGAATACGTTACAGCTGTTGAAATACTTATCTGTGACGAGTGGTACATATGTTGAAATGAACACGGTTTCTATTGGTTTATATTGCCTAGAGTCGGTGTATATAGACACGTGTATATTGCAAAGCGGGGTGACTATTTCGGATGGACCTGTGCAATGAACACCTGTTGTATATTAACCCGGCTTAACAACGTGTACTGTGACGAGTGGTTTCTATTTCAATTGTGGCTTTCATTGATAGTGAGTGTGCTTTATTACTGTCATATAATTATAGGCTAAAAATATGCAAGTCTGGGCCATCAAACCAGTGGTTGATGGTATGAGCAACGATGCGCGTTATACGTTATAACCACCCTATCGACCTTTCATGCGGCTCTTAAATATCCAAATAATGTGTACACGTATTCAGAAATAATTGCTTTGTGTTTGTATTGATCTATGTGAAGTGAGGGGTTTCGTTTTACACCGCTGGCTCAATTGCGCAGCTCGTTGCTCATGATGTCAGTCACTGGATTGTCAGATCAAGACTCGATTATTTACAGACCGTCGTCATATAGCTGGAATATTGCTGAGCGCGGCGTTAAAAAACAAAATAAACAAACAAAACAAAAACAAACCGCGTCGTAATTGATTGTCAACTGAGTGTGGCGTTAATCAACAACAAACAAGCAAAGAAACCCAGTTGTGTAGATCGATGCTCATGATGTCAATCACTAGATTGTCTGTTCCAGACTCAATTATTTACAGACCGCCGTCACATAGCTGGATATTGATATAAAACAACTAACATACAAACAAACAAACAAACAAACAGAGAAAACATGTTAGGAAATTTGTTTCGATGTAATTGATAATGAACGGTCATTTATACTTCCACTCATATAATTTTAACCACTATCTATTTTGCCTTTTACGCCAAAAGGAATCTCTTGGTAGATACTCGAGGCAAATTATTCTCAGCGTTGACGTTTTATATCTCTATAGAAGATCGATACACAATCATTATTTAAATCGATCAATACATGTATATGTACGGGGAATATTTTTAATGTAAACTGCCGGGCAAAAGAAAGTGTACACTTGAAAATTGGATTTGACATTAGCAAAACGTTGCCAGGTTGAAATCAGTCGTCGATACACAACAAACGTAATGTTAAAAACACAACAATGAACCAGTATCAAATACATCACCATCGTATACACAATTCTTGTTTGTTTCATTTTATTTGTTTGTTTGTTGTTTAACGCCGCACTCAGCAATATTCCAGCTATATGGCAGCGGTCGGTAAAATAATCGAGTCTGGACCAGACAATCCAGTGATTAATATCATGAGCATCGATCCACGCAATTGGGATCGATGACATGTATCAACCAAGTCAGCGAGCCTGACCACCCGATCCCGTTAGTCGCCTTTTACGACAAGCATAGTCGTCTTTTACGGTAGGTATGGGTTGCTGAAGACCTATTCTACCCCGGAATCTTCACGGGTCTTTGTTTCATTTCAAGCTACCGTCTAACATAAGTGTATGCTTTCCTTTGTCCGGCAGTATATATCACGGCATTCAGTTATATGTAGGGGGAAAGCCGAACAGGACGCGTGTCGTCAACATTAACACGCTGATGAAACTTGCAGGGTTATGATGCTAATGTGAATTATCATAATAATTATAAAGTTATAGTAAACCTCATATAACCCGCAGTCAGGTTCGATCCACTTTCTCAAGTTGATTTGATTTTTATTTCGTTGAAAAGAAAATATGTTTACGTACGTGAAGCAACAATCACAATAATAACCTATATATATATTTACTGTACATCAAGATGTGTCGTAAATGTTTGAAGGTATTTTTTTTTGGTTAAATAATATTCCATTTTCGACGACTACTGCAACAATCGTTAAATTACATATTTTACTAGCGCTTTGTTTACTTTCGTTTTGAAAACTTCGTATTACTGGTTTCGGGACGATCTTGGGCCACAAATAGGCCTCTTCGCGCCATCCTATCATGCTTCGAGTGCAAGAATGGTAGTAGGTTTAAGGGACGACGTGGGCAAGGAAGGCCCATTTACGCAAACATAATACCATTAATCATATGAACGAAACCTGAATACAATATTGGTGAAAAAAAGACAAAAAGAGACTTTATTTTGTTTACATATAAAACGATGTTGATACTTCACTCCAGCAAACGTAAACTGGAGTTACCTCCCTTAGGTAACATCAAAAGGCGAGCGGAAAATGAATGTTTAAATAAAGAGCGCATAAATGACTTTAACGTGATAAGGAATACCTAAACAGTATCATTAAAATAACAACAGTTGATAACTATTAAACGTTGTGTTTATCATTTAGGTATATACCAATACCTGCATATTGTATTTAATTATAGATAGTTTTGCTGTAACAGTATAATTATGTTACAACTATCAGTTAGACTGATTAAGAAGACGTAAGTTTTACTTACCACTTAAGGATCCAAATAACATCAAATCCGCAGTTATTAGTATCCAAATGCAATATGATGTTCACAGTTCACAGTCATCACGCCAAATACATTGCACTGAGCATAGCATCAGAAAGAAAATCGATCTCACCTCGGTTAAACTCGGGTATATCTTTCCATTCAAGGCCAACAAACACCGTTTGTAATGGGACCGACGCCTCGATAAAATCATTCATGCTCTCAATCGTTTATAGAAAGGAAGTCGTTAGTTGTTCATTTTATTTCCCGTTAAGAAATACAACAAAAAGAAGAAACGCTCAATACATCTGTGTAGATATAGAAACATATCTAGCCTGCATATAATATAAACATATTTAACCCACGGCGAATGAGCTATCACAATAATTGCACGCTTAACGACGTCGTCCATTTCGTAGGTTGGGTGTTAACCGTTCAGGAACAAACGATGTTACTATGTGACTTGGCATGCCCCAGAACTATTTTCTAGTATTGTTTGGTGGCAAAGGAGAAAATATCCCACCTCGGGGTTAAATCAGATAAGTATTAAACACATTCGTTTCTCTTCAGTGAGCAGCCC